ATGTTGGCCAGACCGAGAACAGTATGGGGGCTCCAGCAGCAGGTTGTTTGAACCTAGTCTTTAAAAAAGGTCACCCAAAAGATGGCTTACGGGACTAGGAATAAAATTCAAAGTCTTATTCTTCCAGGTTATCGCGTCCTGTGCAACCTCAGGACAAACGTAAGTAGCAGGGTGGATCAGAGGGATCAAGGAACAATAGGTTATGGAGCTGTCCACACTCTCTCTTACTATGACATTTTTAAAGTGCCTTTCAGTATGGTTTTTAAGTGCCAGACCTCTAGGTTGTAGGTTCAAGTCAGGCTTGGGTCAGAGTCATCCCCAGCTGATGGCCGTTCTGGGACCTCTGAGTGAAATGACCTGCTGGGTCTTAGCAAACTCCTATTCTACATCAGCAAACTCATCAATACAATTGGCACTCTATATTTCCAGTCTCGGCAGTGAGGCCAAACACTGAACAAGTCATGGACTGGGAACTCCCTGCTTTTCCTTAGGTGATCCCTTAGAGTAGTGGGAGCAGACTTTGCTCCTGCTACTCATGCAGCATTGGTCCAAAGGGAGCAGAGAATCCTTGAGTCTCCAGTGGTCAGTTTGGCACCATGCACCAGCACTAAGTTTGCAATGAAAGGAGTTTCTCTGACAGAGCAGCTTGGGTACAAAGGAACAGGCACTCACCACAAAGATCAGTCCAAGAGGAAAGGCTGGATCTCAGGTTAACTGTGCTCAGATGTTTCCTGATTATGTTTCTGTGACCAGAGCTGGCTGTGATCAACCCGGGGGCGGGTGGGGGGGTTAAGGTAAATGGAGGTGGGTGTGGGGTATGCTGGGATCCAGGTTCTTTTAGTCTCCCTTGATTGCAAAGTCAATGAACCATCAGCACCTTATGAGTCACACCAAGATGGCTCTTCACAGACCAGACATGGCACAGAGCTTGTCACAGATGCAGTTAACTTTGTAAAAATAAGACAACTTCCCCGTAGCAAAACCTACACAATGAAAGAAATGTATGTGCTGTGCCTACAGCTGAGGAGACATATCCCCAGTGCTGTGGGTTTGGGACGTAGGCCCCAGCCAGCCTGTGTTGGGGAACGTACCCCACACAAGCCCAGAAGGGGTTGGTGGGGTCATGAGAAGCCAATTAACATACCTGGCAGCTTGGGAAAGCAGGCTTCACTGATGATTGCCAGCGGTGGTGATTATAAAGCGAGGAAGACTGTTGCAGAAAGGGGCTGCCAGGGGAAAATCTGCCCTCACTCTTGGGATGATATAAGAGATAGGAAACCATCCAGGGAAGCAGCAAGAAGTTGAGGGAGTTGGCCTTGCTGAAAACAACAAAGTCCTTAGGCTGGAACCCTCAAGAGTAAGAATCAAAGAGTCCAGATACAAAAGGAAGATGTGCTATAAGGTCACTGAACTACAGCTTACCCTGGAAGGGGTAGACTAAAGTGCAACCTGGCCAGAGGGCAAAGCTGCATGGAGAGACCACGGGCATAGTGTGCCATAAGAACCATAGCATAGCATAGCATAGCATAGCATAGCATAGCATAGCATAGCATAGCATAGCATAGCATAGCATAGCATAGCATAGCATAGCATAGCATAGCATAGCATAGCATAGCATAGCATAGCATAGCATAGCATAGCATAGCATAGCATAGCATAGCATAGCATAGCATCATAGAGCTGGAAGAGACCTCAGGAGACCATCAAGTCCAGCCTCCTGCCCAAGGCAGGACCAATCCCAACTAAATCAACCCAGCCAGAGCTTTGTCAAGATGAGACTTAAAAACCTCTAGGGATGGAGATTCCACCACCTCGCTAGGTAACCCATTCCAGTGCTTCACCACCCTCCTAGTAAAATAGTTTTTCCTAATGTCCGACTTAGACCTCTCCCACTGAGACCATTGCTCCTTGTTCTGCCATCTGTCACTACTGTGAACAGCCTCTCTCCATCCTCTTTGGAACCTCCCTTCAGGAAATTGAAGGCTTCTATCAAATCCCCCCTCACTCTTCCCTTATGCAGACTAAACAAACCCAAATCCCTCAGTCTCTCCTCATAGGCCATGCGCTCCAGCCCCCTCATCATTTTGGTCACCCTCCACTAGACCCTCTCCAATGCGTCCACATCCTTTCTATAGTGGGAGGCCTAGAACTGGACACAATACTCCAGATGTGGCCTCACCAGAGCTGAATAAAAGGGAATAATCACTTCTCTGGATCTGCTGGCAATGCTTCTCCTAATGCAACCTAATATGCCATTAGCCTTCTTGGCTACAAGCCACGCTGTGCCTGGCCACAAGGAGATGCCCCTGTGGCCAGTGAACCCAATGACACAGCTTAGGGACACGAACCTGCATGGCCAGGCTAAGGGACGACCTGTAGCTCCCAGAGGGGAGTGCTACTCTTAGAGGGACTCGATTGTCTCAGCCAGCTGCCAACGGCAGGCAAGGAATTTGTGTGTATATCAGTGAGAGACATTGCTGTCAGCTGCTGGGTGGAGTAGGGGGAGGAAGCTTTCTAAATAAAAACAGCAGACTGACCAGACACTTCATAGCACAAATACTAAGTGCTCCACACTTGCCCTTGGCTTATCCAAAATGACAAGAAGCCTATGGGTGGAGGGAGCATGACTCTTCTTAAATTCATCCTTAGGGTTCACCTTGCCTTCTTTTTTATGCTTTCCCTCTTGAATTCCCAACCAGACATGTTTCAGAGGACTCCTGCCTGCCTCTACTGGGCAAAGGACTGTGGGTAGGTCACCGAGAGCCTCTCATTGGCTCATGCAAGCTACACTAGCAAAGGAACATATGAACTACAAATCAGCTGGGAGGGGTAGGGAGACCAGCCCTGACCTCCACCTGCCCAATGCTTCTTTGCCAACTCTATGTGTGTAAGTATTCAGGCAGGTGTCTGATGCCTTCTGGTGACAATAGAGTGGACCCACACAAACAACTTCCTAGCCTGGAAGGGGCAAACACACAAATACTTCCTCTCCCCCAGCTGTTCTTTGGAACGTCCTTACTTGTCAGTGGGTGAACTCTGCCATGGATAAAAAAGGAGGGGACGGACGAGGCGTCCAGACTTCAGAGCCAAGTAGAGGGACAGATTAAGCACAATTGATTTTATGCTGTAGCTCTTTGATAGCTAGTCAACCAAGTGGTGCTTTGAGGCTCATCAATAGCACACAGGGGAAAAGGCTGGCAGCACTGACTCAATCAGCACTCACAGATTGGGAAGGGAGGACTGACACACCGTTCAATGGCTCAAAAACCTTCCCCCAGGCCTGTTCTCAGCCCTTTCAGGAAGTAATATCTTGCTTTCCTCCAGCCCATTTCATGTCAAGGAACCCAAAATGCTTTATCAACTTCATGTCATGCATAGAAAACATTTCACCCATTACTGAAATGCAGTCACCTGAGGGATGAGGGATATAAGCTTAAATTCCAGCAGTGCTGGAATTTAAAGGTAAAAGTCCCACCAGCACCCCTACTTTAGAGAAGGAGAATGCTCTGCCAAAATGCAGAAGAGAGAAGAGGGAGGATGCTGCATCAGAAGGTGATCCTATTTCCTAGAATAACATGAACTGCCATCATGAAACAAACCCAAAGGCCAGCCACTACAGACA